TCATCAACAATTTAAATGTATCTTTCCCATAGCATGGATAATATGTCAAGAAAGCTTGATAGCATCCAGTCATGTGATCTTTGACACCTAAATCAATGATCCATAAACTAAAAGAGACAAAAAAAAGTGAGTTTCATAGGAATGGTACATTGACGGTCGTGGGAAATCAATGGGTCGAAAAAGAACTGATTGGATCCAAGCAGTTTGATTAATTGCTCCATTTGACTCTTAAGAGAGTAGGGTGATTCCAAGTGTTTCGAGTGGGAACTAGTTGTACCGTAGTAGATTTAGATGTCATAGTAAGACCCATGACAGAAAAGAATTTGGCTGAAGATTTGTATGTTGGTTTCCCATGGTGTTTCCAACACTTGTCACGAATATGGTTGGGTTTGTGACAGTAATCACAAGTGGAGCTAGTGGCTCGAGATGACAGAAACGAGTATTGAGTACTATTAGTGACCAAGACAGATGATTCGACTGAAGCAGAAGTCTCGAGTATGACAAGTCTTAGCTCTCTTCGTATCGAATCTTTGTGAATGTAGCACGAACAGAAAAAAGGGGATCCCAGCCAAGGATACGACCCTGGACTTCATTAAGGTCTTTGTTAAGGCCTGCCAAAAATTGAAACATGCAATTTTTTATACAATTTTCTGAAAGGGGAAAAAATATGTCGGAGATTCCCACGTGTAGTTGTAATAGAGATTGTATTCCATCCACAAGACAACTAAATCATTGTAATACTAGGTTATGATCCTCAATCCTTATTTTGTTGCCTCACAGATCTTCTTCGAAACCTCATAAAGTTGGTTGGAATTCCCTACATAAGTAGATATCCCAAATTGTAGTCCATATGGCATTGGCAGAAGGAAGAAGCATATACAAATGACCAATCGTAGTTTCCATAAAGTTAATCCGCCACAACATGATCATGAAATTCTTTAATTCTCACGCTTCATACGTCGGGTCAATTTTAGGAGGTTCACGAATCATATCCGTGAGATAGTCAAATTTTTCACGTCCCTTGACGAACAAGGACACGACTTGTGACCATTGAAGAAAATTAGAACTGTCCAGTTTATTGGTTGTGATTAGAAAGTTCATGTGATTTTTCGATCCTCTGGTCAGCAGAGGAATTGAAACTGGTGTCAACCCTCCTGTGGACTCAAGTACGTTGTCGGGAGAAGGCTCGGCGATGGAAGATTCCGCCATAATTCCAACTGAGCCAAATGTGATGTTGGGTTGCCAAGACATAAGAAATCCTAGAGGCTGAAAAAAAAAATCTAGAAACACCAACCAGGGAGAACAGGTTGGCTAAAGAAAAGATCAGGTTGGCATAAGGGATCTTCGGGGGTTGGAAATGTCTGCCAACAAGCCAAGCAGCAGTCTGCAGGGAGGCAACACTGAGATCTGGCAATTGGAGGCATGTAAAGAGGTTGGTAGTGAGGTATGGCGGTACGATGTACCAACAGGCGGCCGAAACTAAGTCTGGCGACAGGAAGAAACGCAGGGAGGACCTGCAGTTAGCCGGCGGTAGAAATCTTGTAAGGAAAGACCTGCAGGTGGTCGGCAACTAGGGTAGAGAGCATGGATTAGAACCATCACATGTTACATTTTGATAATTGAGCTACATATTTTCATTGATAGAAAAAGGGGTATAAATAAAAGGAAGATAAATTCAAAAACAGGCCACGTAAGAAATACATAAATATGAAAACGGAAGCAAATAAAGGCTAACAATAACCTCAACGGAAATACATAAGAATTGTGTCGCATGTATGCAAATGCACCTTTATATAAACCATTCACAAAACTTTCATTTGGTCGTCCCTTTTTCCATCCTCATGATCAACTTTTACCATATCAACAAGTCAGCATGTCCACGCCTTAAATTACAAAAATGAGGTGAAACATTGAAAAAATGCATTGAATGTTTATATTTGATTGAAAAATGTTATTCAATAAGGTTCTAAGAGAAGTCCTTTCGAGAGTTCTAGATAATAAAGGTGTAGATATGACTTATATTTAAGTCATTAAAGATATGTATTTTAAATATGTTACTTGTGTTCGAATAGAATGATTGACCAAGCAATTTCCCATTTCATTTGAATGACATTAGGGGTCGGCTTTAAGGTCATATCTTGTTGCTTTAGTTGTGGATGCTCTAACTGGACATTTACAGGAGGATGTACCTTGGTGTATATTTTTCGCTGAAGATATCCTTCTTATGGATAAGATTAGAGAAAGAATTCAGGAAAAACTTGAAGTATGAAGATCTACATTGAAGTCTAAAGCCCTTCGTTTGAGTAGAACTAAAGCTAAATACATGGTATGGAATTTTAGTAGTAGTAGCTCGAGTGGTAAAGTTGTAACTATGAGTGATCAAATCATTAAAATGTGTGAACGTTTTAGTCTATTGTTCAAAGTGATGGTAATATAGATAGGGATGTTAGTAGCAAAAATCAAATTGGTTGGTTGAAGTGGAGGAATGCATCGGGCCTATTATGTGATAGTAAAGTACCACTTAAACTAAAAGGAAAATTTTATAAGATGGTGGTGAGACCTGCAATGCTCTATGATGCAGAATGTTGGCCTTTAAAAGAGAAGCAGACAACAAAGTTAAGTGTAGTTAAGTGTTGTTGAGATGAGAATAGTTAGGTGGATAAGTAGTTTGACACTTAGAGACAAAATGCGAAAAGAATATATAAGTGATAGAGTTGGTGTATCTCCCTTGGCGAACAAGATTAGAGAGCAATGAAGAAAAAGAATGTTCATATTTGACTACTACTAAATCTTAGATGGTTTGGTCACATTAAACGTCAATCATCTAATGATATGGTTAGGAGAGTAGATGTTTAGATTTAACTTATATTAAGAAAGACAAAGGTGGACCTAAAAAGGCTTGGCTATATTGTATAAAAAATTATCTTAATTTATTAGAATTAAATGAAAATATGACACTTAATAGGACGCAATCAAGAAAAAAGATTCATGTAGCTGACCCCACTTAGTGGGATAAATGCTTGTTGTTGTTGTATTGATAAATGTTATTTGCATGGACGATTCTTTATTGAAGATTTTTTTCCTATGTAGTGAAATGTAGATGATTCAATCCTCTAAAGTAAAAGATAAATTCCAAATAAAATTGCATGATGGAAAAAGAATTAAAAAAAGAATATTGTAAAATTTGTATGGGACTTTGTCAACTTGCATTACATGCTAGGCAATGTTTTGATTTTATTATAAACAACATCATAGCCTTATACGTCAAGGGGGTGGATTCACCCAAAAGGATGAACAGGAGACATCAAAGGTCGGATGTAATATAAGTCTATCAGATCGAGTCCAGTACAAACTAGCTATTTTTGATTCAATAGAAGTTGATAAACCAAGCTTAAGCTTAGCTTCAAAGCATCAACAAGCCAATAGTTAGGAGGAAACAAATGTCAATAGTTCGTTAAAGGCTAAAGAGTGACTTCACATTTATTTGTACCAGACATGATAGATTAACCAAGCCGTGTGGCCAACCTACAATTATAGGGTGCTCAAACTTCATTGTCGGATATCCCATCAATTTCTCTTCCCAAGTCAACTAACAATCCGAGTCTGAGTCTGTATTAATTATGTATTAAGGCTCTAAGGACTTCTATGCCTCTCTGTAGCTTTTTATATGTATTGCAAATTTGCTTACAAATAGCTAATGAGCATGTTGAAAAACTTCTCAAAATTACCATCGTGATTCCTCTGCCATACTAAAGATTGCGGCATGAAATTAAAGAGATTTGATTTTTTATATTACATAATATTGAAGTTATTTTGGAAGTTTTATTTTTAGGATATTTTGTCATTTTCTTTTATTAAAGTTTTTTATTATTAGTATGTTACAATTCATTTTTTTTTTTTTTTGTGGGAAGTTATGTCTTATTTATGATGTTCCCAATATGACAGTAATCCCCCTTTACTTATTTTGCAATCATTTCATATGAAATTGAAGAGGAATAATTATTTTTCCCCTCCAAAAACTATAAGGTATCAGAGCCACCGACCTGACCCTAACCCCACCTCGCATGACTCCTTTGTGTTAGGACACTAGCAACTTATGTTGGGAATGTGACGATTGGATTGCAGCGTATGAAGACTGTCAAAACTCCACTCTTTCACCACGTCCGCTCCACTTATACCCGAGGTGACGTAGGGATTGTAACATACGAACACCAATAAAACTTTGATTTTTTTCCCTTACAATTATGCAGATCCGTAGTTACTGAGAGGGTTCTGGAAAGACAGAACAATAAGGAGAATACAACAATCATAGTGGCTGAGGGTTCTGGAACGATGATTGCTCTTGCATATCGACGAACAACAATGAGACAACAACATTGGCAAGGTCCGTAGTTGTTGAGGGTTAGGGATCGACAATTGTTGTGTTTTCAGCATTCCCTTTTCTCCTTCCACCGAAAAATAGGAGTTATGCGACTTTCTTGATCGAAAACAGCAATCAGGTTTACGGCGTAAATAATTGTTGTACTGCTCGCACAATGAAATGAAAAACTTGCAACGTACATGAGTTATGCACCTTTCTTGATCGAAAAGAATGATCGAAATCGCAACGTGAAGGAGTTTCGCCCGATGAAAAGCTAAATTAATCGCTTCAAATGTGATAATAGTATGTCAAAACTGTTAAATTTTAATTTTTTTAAAAATTTTTGTACCAAATTAAAATATTGAGCATAACAATAGAGTTTTTTTATTTTTTATTTTTAATAATTCGCTCAACTCACATTTGAGCCAAAGTTTGAACTATGTATAAACTAGACAATCTTAGGTCGACTGAACCAAAACACAACTCAGCTCGACCGTTTACCCCCTTACTTGCTGACAATAAATATTATGAGTGAAGCGTTGCTATTTCGAATGCTTTTGTAATTCTAGCATTACAAGAGCAAACATAGAAACCACCCAGCTCTCCACATACTAAGAGCAGAGAACAAAAAATGACATACCAAAGTATCCAGACCAGTCATCTTAAGCTCATCTTGCATCACAGATTCATCAGGAACAAGCACGACGTCTCCCACCTACAGCAAATTAGGAAAGTAAAAAAATTATATTAGGATTCAATGGTGGAACAAGCACTAACCTAATAAAGGGCTAAAAGTGCCATGAATTGATATCGATGTCATCAACTTCGACTAAAGAAACCATTTTTATGCATTTCATGCCATCATGCATGGAGGAGAAAATCAGGAGAACAAACTTTAAGCTAAATAAAAGTACGTTCAATCATTCACTGGGTATTAAATATTTATGCATTGTGACCGTTATAAAGTATGTTTGTGTCAAGGAAGTAAATAACAAATCTCCAAAAGCACTATACTATCATATCAACTTTTCTGAAGCTACAAAAGGAAACTGTTTTAACAGCATGGCCAACATTAGTAGTAATCACAAAATCATGTACTAAACAAGGCCGGGAACTAACTAATCATCATCCATAAACTCAAAACTCAAATAAGCATCCATGGAGTAAAGTTGATATAGATCCAAATTCAGTGTACATCATCTTAAGGAACTCAGTTTTAAGAAAATGAATATTATAAGAAAAGAAGAAAAAAAAAACTGATCATAGAAACATAAACCTGATACACATCCTCAAGAAGAAACTTCTCAGCATCTCCAGATAGAAAATTTGGCCTCACCTCGACCAATGCTACCACCCACTGAAATCAACTATTAAGAAAGTAAGATCACAAAACAGACTATCATCATCAGGAGAGCTCAGCAAAATTAAGAATGGATTCAACTAACTAAATAAGTATCAAAGATCAACAAAACCTCTCTTAACTCCAATAGCATCTTAACCCCAGACAACCTCCTACTATCGAAACGACAATCAATCGAGGGCATGCCAAAACCATAAAAAACTAACCGATCTAGTGTCAACCCAAAGCTGTGAGATAAACCCCAAGCTACGAGCAGACTCCATGCTAATCACCTGCTTCGCAAGCAAATTCGACCTCCTCATCACCCGCCTTCCACCTCTAACGCCCGTGCTTCCAACCACAATCTCTTCCCTCTCTGAACTAGAAGTTGTTTCTTCCAAGTTGTCAGGCCTCGACCCTTCTTCCATAGAACCCGCTCTAGCGTTCTCCTCCTTCTCAAGCTCCCTCTTCAACTCAAGAAAATCGAATGTTGTTAACAACGGAGCTCCATTCCCACCTCGCTCTCTCTCGCCCCTGAAACTCGACTTCAAACCAGAAAATTCTTCAAGAGATTCAAATGACCTTGGGTTTTCGTCACTGGGCCTGCTGTTGGTATCCGCCGATCCTGACCCGGTTGAAACTGAGAAGAGAAATCCTCCCCTGTTAAATCCAGGGGACTCAAACTTGCTGCTTATTGTGCTGTTGTATCGGCTCCTATGGCCAAGCGTTAGAGGACCATGAACCGAAGAATGGTTTATTAGGGTTCGTTCATTTGAAAGGATCGGTCCTTGTAAAAATCCAAGACGAGTATGGGTACAGCGGCGTGAGAAACGCAGAAAGCTGCCATCGAAATCCCGGGGAAGACAAGCGAGCATCGAGCTAAACCAGATAAAGCATAGAACTCAGCAACTCTGCCGAAGTACTTCGGGGTGAGTGAATCAAACAAGTTTAAAATAAAAATTTACAGGTATATCACATAATATTGGATTATTTATCTATCTAGGATCTAAATTTAGATATTTACATTAATAGCATTTTCGTATCATATATATTGATTATTATGTATATAAATTAAAAGTTTTGGAATAAGATGTGATAATACATAATAATTACATGGGATGTATGTAAATGCCCTAAAAGAAGACTACATACCTATTTATCAAATATTTTTAAAAGTTTTATATAATCGACAAT